AAATTTAATTTCTGGGACTAGTTGCTTGACATTTGGTACCATATAGAACAATGACTAAAGTGCTCATATTTCGTTGTAATAACGATAGAATAGAAGTGCTCTATGTTCGGAATAGTGGGAGATCGTCGTGGTTAGGCTTCGCAAACGAAGATATGTGAAGGGCCTGTACCTGCGCTTATTGCAGGCGCGTTGATGGCTGAGAAAGCCAGTGCGGACTAAATTACCAATTACAAAAATTGCAAAAATTACCTTTAATAAAGCTTTTTTAATTAGTAGAAAATGAAAATTAACAATGCATGCAAAACTTGCATTATGCATGCAAAATTTAATTCAATTGAATGTTTCTTGTAAATTGATTTGCATGCATGTTAATAGCAAATAAATGAATATGTGCTTGATAATCAGAATATGATAATCATCATTATCTGTTACTGTTTAGTATGATTAAATACAATTGAACAGAGAAGTTATCATTGTTCAACGATGACATTATTTAATGTCATTATGTCATCATTAATGTCATCATTATAAGATTAATTTGTTTGATATAACATTAATTAGTTACTAATGCTTTTTTAACTTCCAAAATATAAAGAAGTTATACAATAGAAGAAAAAAAATTTTATTATCATATTGCATGCCATATGTTGCATGCTGCATGCAATTTAAGTATTTTGTATGTAAAATTTCAGGTATTAATCCTAATACTTAGCGCAATTGCAATAGCAGTCCATGTGCTTGCATTTTTATTACCCATTATATTTATGGAACATTTAAATGATGATGAGAAGATGCATTTTGTACGAACAATGCTTTATCTAAAGAATCAACTATTTGCCCTTGCCTTATTATTTTCTTTTGTTGAATTTTTGGACTTTCTTACCGTTCATCATTTATTCGGCCCATGGGCTATCATTATACGAGATCTTATGTATGACCTTCTCAGGTATAATGTTTCTTTTTTTTTTTTTTTTTATTTTACATTATTTCATTAAACGATGTTTTGCATAATATTTATATATTACAATTTAAATTATTTAGAGATAATTTCATAAAGGTAATTGTCAACTTTTTATTTGAATAAACTATTTATTGACAATTAATGTC